GATTGATGCATCGGTCTTGATTATTGGGTAGTCCCGCTCATTCGGAACCATACGTAGTATGGACACTTCCTTACGTATTTCAAGTAGCCATTATGGAAGAAATATTTTTATAGCAAAATAACGAGCAGCTTCTTTGATTACGCAAAATTGTCCACATTAACTTTTAACTAGCAACTTTTACTGGCAGTGATTAGAGTGAAATGTAATAGAATGCAGGCAACATAAAGATATCTGGTGTCGTTTTATGCAAATTAGAATGGTAAGCTGAAAGTCCACCTGATGGAAAGTGTTTTCTTCATAATTAACAAATTACGATGGAATATCAGATATAAACGTGGTGAAATCGAAATCAATATCATGTGTAAATAAGTGGTCTTTCTACTAGTAAAATATAACATTTTCATCGAAGAAACATGGGTCGAAACTACTACTCCTAGATGTGTCATGTACCTACATAGCAGTTGAGATAGAATGAGAGGCATAAATTAATTACTGTTTTTAAAATTTATTTTACGAAATTAGTTGAAGTATATTCTATAGTATGGGTAGATTTTTAGTTTCATATACAGACTTACGACTTTGATTTCTTCTCGTAGAACGGTCTTGGATGAATAATATGGTAAGTGATTAGTACTGCCGCTCATAGGTACCCGAAGCATCAGAGGAATTGCAAACGTGTTGCTAGCTTTTTAGAACGGAATGTGCTCTTTTCTTGAAGGTTTCAATGGTGTATCTATTCGGAAATACTGTTGCTGGGTATTGGTTTCAAAGTTTGAAAATGCGTGAACAAAAGTTTACAGAAGCGCACGGTGAAGGACCACCCCTCATGCAGATGGTCAGAGTAGAACTTTAGCTTGAGACACGTTGTACTGTGATGAAATTTAGCAGCTGATATAATCAGACTTCTCCTCCTCCCTTTGAACACTCTCTAGAATAAATATAAAATATTTAAAAAAGGCAGATTTTATAGAAGATAATATAAAGATAAAGGATATAACTATCGTCTCGTGGACTATGAGAATTTTTTATTCAGTCGTGGCGTGGTTTGTCTGTAGGTAGGTATATTAAAGCTAAAGTACAGAAACATTTTCATACTTTCTTTTCTTTGTTGCTGTTTAATTTTCTACAGTAATATGCTCCATTTATGTATTAGGTTATTAATGACAATAACAATTCACTCACCTTGAATTTCCCGCTGATACAATAATTACGGTAGAATCCTCGATCGATCTCATACGTCCATAACTTCACTATTGCTTAACAAGTAGATCTAATGCTTATGTCTAATGGACATTTTCTCTGTGGACTTGGTTGGGATAGGATAAAAATTCCTTTTATGGGCCGTCATCTTGTTTGCCATTCTAAGTTGCTTAAAAAAGAGTAGGTAGTAATAGGTACTTGCATAATACGTATGCAATTTTAGAGGATTTATTATAACCAGAATAAAGTTTACGCTTTGAATTGTCTCTGACTTGACAAGGAAAAACAAAATAGGATTTTGTGAATGTTCCTTATTTATTAACAAATAACTTCCATACTCTGTAATTTCACTGCCTTATCTCACTCTTTAAGTTGAAACACAGCTCTGCAAGTACAGTCGCTTAATGTTAAAAATACGAAAAGCCAGAATGAAATACGATAAGACCAAGCAAATGACTTTTGTATAAAGTCGATCTCTCATACCAAGTTAAGAAATAGGAAGAATCTAAGTCGCCTAGCTTATACTAGTATATATAGCCTATAATATCTTTCCATATTCTCCTGTTAATATAGAAGACTTGTACCTAGCATTGAAAAGGGTAGTTATTGAAAACGATGATGAAGTGAGTTCTTCTAAAACCTTGATGTATGGAAAATTGTTATGGCGATGGCATAAAATGACAATGGCAGGATGTAGTGGAACGAACAAAACCGGAATTGCGGTTTTGGATACGAGGAGTTTGTTTTCATTATTTTCAGAATAAGTAGATACTAGGTATATAGCATAATTTTATAGCATGATTAGTTCCTGGCGAATGTAAATCTAATTCTAAGAAATATACACAGAGTTTGAGATATAACGATTGGTTTAAGTCTACCAATCTACATATATAAAAGAAGATGATGAGTGACTGAAGGACTAAACTATATTGATATATGGATTGTGTGTCGATAACCACGGTCGAAACCGCCGAGTCTAGAATCTCGTAATTTTGCAGATAGATTCTTTATATAGTGTAGGTGAATTTTATTAAAGACAGTAATTTTGAAAACTCAACCCCTAAGAGGATTAAACGGAAGTTTAAACTTTTTATAGAATTTCGTTAGTTTAGAATTTCTTTATTAATAGGTGAAAATAGTATGATAACTCTGCCTGCGCTATTGGTATAAGCTGGAGGAGGACCAGTAAAAGATGATAGGTGAGGATGAAAGCAGGTCAGTTGGCCTATCGTGATGAATTTAACAAGAACTAACCACGATGGTTTCCAGGGGGAAACACTTGAATATCGACCTGATAGGGTCATTATCTGATATTGCTTTGCAATATAGGTTTTGGACCTCCATTGCTAACAATCCATTTTACCCCTCAGTTCAGAAGTTAGACACATTAAATTTTAGATTTAGGCTCTTATTTCAAAAATTATATTTATTGGCTTTTGAAGAGCTTTTCTCTAAAACGGTGAAATAGAGAATGAAAGTTTGTATGGTATTTCTGCTATAATTGAAACTGGAAGTACAAAACTTTAGTTTCAGAGTTCTGATTAAAAATAAATGAAATGGTTTTTAGCGTTTTTGTAAATTTCACCCTTGAAGAGGTAAGATGTGGGATGAAAATTTGTACAGGAATTGCTATTTTTTAAGTTAGAAGTATAAAAGCATGCTTTTAAGCTTTTAATTAAAAATAAAACATTTTTCAGTAGTTGTTTTGTAATTATCCTCCTAAGGCAGTGAGATAGGGAATAATTTGATTGAAATAAAACTTTGTATTTAAATTTGTTAATTTTAAGTTAGAAAGATCAAGTTTCAAGTGTATTCTTTTTCTAATGATATAACATAAAGGATTGCAATATAACCGAACTTCATGCGGACGAAGTCGCGGGCAACAGTTATAATTTATAAGAACGACGGAAAAGTTATTGCCGCGAGAAATCGAATGACATACGAGAGCGAAGCCTCGGGTGAAATTTTGTCTCCTATACACCTTATAAAGCTTATCCTGGCTGACTGACTGATCTATATTGAAACTTTAAACAGTTTTCTTTAATTACATGCCCACTATATAAGAATGGATTTTTTTGGATAATCACTCTTAGAGAGTGATTTTAAAATAATGGATGAATGTTTGTTTATTATTTATCCTAAACACAAAAGTTTAATGAAAACGTTTTTTAAACACAAACCTTCTTAGGACCGGGTCAAACCGGAATATTATTGAATCCTACAAAATTTCATTAAAATCGATAGAACAGTTTCGGAAATTAGCATTAGTAATATCGTGACACTAGATTTTTATATATTAAGATTTTATAGTGCATGCGTTATGTAGAATCGAATCGAAGTATTTGGCGTTCTGTCTACCCTAGTCGGAGATGGGCATGACAGATATGTATGTAATTATGTAATTCTCATTTATTTATATTTACAGACAAAAACTGACGTGATTTTTTTACTTGTGATATTACAAAATCTTTAAGACTTATTTAATAATCCCGTTCAGCTGAGTGCCATTGCAGACATATGTTCATTAGTGATCTGCAATGGGCTGATAATGATGGTGTTTAACAAATGTAATACAATTGTGGTTATTTAACTCTCAAGCTAGGATATCTTGTATTGTGAAAATCCAAACAACGAACATCTGGTAACATAGTACGGAATACCATATTAGATCAAATTAAGAATAGATAGTTCGATCAAGCTAATATAGATAGTTCGGTCAAGCTAATATAGATAAAATTAGCTGGATCGAACCCAGGATGTCATTGTAAAGTTATTTGAAGATAGCAAACCCAATTCCAGACTAAAACCTTTTGAAAATATGAGTATTCATATAGGTAGTACGTACATAATACAGGTTGTTAGACATCTATTAAAATCCCTCTCCTCTGTATTCATTCTCTTCTCTGTAAGACCCCACTTGATCATAACATGGTAAAGTTTAATTAATCTATAATTCTAGTGTTTTTCTACTACTTTATTATTATACAGCACTGTGTTTTGTATACAAGTGACGTATGGACAGCAGGCATATGCTTTACGCGATGTTGATTTTAATTATATACATACACAGCCATGGTTAAGAGTAAGAAATATTTTAAATTCAACGTAATATACACATAGAAAGAATTTAATCACAATTATATAAATAAATTATTAACGCAAAGAGACAATAAAAATTATATATGTTGGTTTTATTTACATGTAGTAGCATCGCGTTAAATTGCGAACATGAGTTATTTATATTTATATATTTGTAAACTTTAAAACGCGAATCTTTAAAATTAAGTAATTATTATTTAAAGTAAATTAATTTATTTAGATTAAGTATTTTTTACAATGAGCTAGAGTTGCCTATACGTCACTAACAACAGACAGAAAAGGGGATGGCAAATAATAAATCGTGAAAGAATTTTGGATAGTTTTTTTTTTAGTGATCACGAATTAAATTATTATACTATTATTGATAATAAATAAGGTAAGTGTTTGGTAAATAAAGTGGTCAGGATGAGCTAATAAATATAAAATAGAAGTAGGAAAAGGAACTTTTAAGGAGACAAGAGACTATAGATGAGGAACGATCATAACGTCTGTACTGCATTTACATATATCGTTATCCATAATTTAAAATTTTGTTAAATGAGCAGAAATATAAATTGAAGTTATTAGAAAATTTTAATACAAAAAACCAAGGTTTTGTTGGTATTGTAGGTTGAATTACATATTATATATAATATTTTTCCCTTTTTATTTGGCTGATAGATTAAGTATTAGAAATAAAAAAAAAAATAAGACCATAGACGCACGATCTGAAGACGAAATTTATTCAAATTTTAAATTTCATACTTCAATATCACAAACTTATTGATATGATGCATAGGAATCATTACTGTCAATGACTAATTTAAAGCATAGATATTTTATTTATTATAAACTATAAAAATGGGCTAGCCTTTTTAATAAATAACAAAACAATTGCATATATATATAATACAAATTACCTACACGCGAAAATACAAAATCACACTTAAAATCTAATATAGAGGCACTTTATTTATTATTTTAAAGATCATAATTCTTTTGAGTCTTCTGGAAGACAAAGGAACATTTTAGAGCATGCGATGTTGAATGAATCGCACGCTAACTGCAACCATTCGGGTTTGGCTTGCCATCTTATAAAAATGCAATACACCGGTACGCCCAGTGCTATTAGTGCTATACCAACACCAACTTCTGTTGGATTCGTAAAGCATGAGCACACGACGAGAAATGCGCATATAACGAGGAATGCTATCGGCAGAATTAAGTTCACACGGATAGGCCTCCGCATATGCGGGCGAGAGTACCGCATCCAGAGGAGTCCAGCCACAGAGCTCAGCGTGAATAGGGCTTCGACAGCTGTCACGTACACTATCAGAGATTCCACGTTGTTGGACATCAGAAGCGTGAGGGTCACTATACACTGTAATAAAAAAAAACATAAATATTTTTCTTTCAAAAAAAGTATTTTTATGAAAATTTTTTATTTATTAAGATTTTATGAATCATAAACATTTAAAATTATAAAATAAAAGTAATATTTCAAATTAAATAAATTAAGATATATTTTAAGTTAAGCATTTAGAAATCTACTATTGGGGATTCATGTGCTAAGGATACTTTTTTATGATAGGATGATAGGATATCAACCGAACATACGAGTAAGCCTAAAGTGCCATTTAGTACATGTTGAGTGCACATGGCCACAACATATCATGTGTATACTCTTTCAGATAAAAAAAGGATTTTTCAAATCAGTTTACAACTAATGTATTTATGACGTAACAAATATTAAAAAAATAAAATCGAATTGAGAATCTCTTTGAAGTCGGTTGATAAATACACTTTATCCGAGTCTTCCTTAATTAAAAGGTAGTTATATAAAGGAAAAATGTGTGTTATTGAAATTATACATTATTAAAATAAAACGTAGTTATTATACGAACAAATAGATAAATACGCTATTGTTTTTGTACGTAATCTATTATCATGTTTTGAATGTTTTTGTATCGTTTACCTGTGAGAGCTATTAAATTGATTAGTTTCTAGATTATTATTACGTTATAATTCAAATATCAAAATATATAACTATTTGCATAAAAGATATCGTTTTATGACTTATTGAGAAGTATAATAGTCTCTCGTGTCTATAACACTCGTATTAGTTTACACACTCATAATAGAAAGTAAATAAACGTGGTAGTATCCATTATGGAAAGTTCTTGAAGTAGAAATCTTGTTATAGCCAGAGATTTGATCAAATTATACGATCTAGGTGCGTTTTTAGTTCATAAGATATAGATATTTATTTATTTATTGGAAAACCAACAGCTTACAATTTATAGCTTAAAACAATAACAACTTATCCATATAAAAAGCCAATAACAGGTTTTCACTGACTTAGCGATATAAATTTGTCGTGGCTAGAGTAATTATAAAATTTAGAAGGAAATAAAAATAAAAAACTACACTATAGTATGTCATAACAAAATATAAATAGTATAAATAGATATAATATATAAATAGATCATATAAATAGATATCAATATGAATCGTGATACAATATTATTTAAAAATACATACTATTTATTTATTTACTCTTTATTGCATAATTTAAAGAATAGTACATAAATATAAATAATATATTAAAAAATTATTAATGTTAGGTAAAGGGATTTAATTAGTTTCTTGAGGGTGGCTAATGACTGGGCAAAAAAATGTATGAAAAATCAAACAAGTTTTTTTGTAATTGTTGCAGTAACAATTTCTAAATGAAAATAGTAACAAATCGAAACATTAAATCAATTTATCGATTTTTTATTTGAACTACTATTAGATATTAGTAGACTTTTTTATGGTCGGGTCAATTTTTTCTTCAATTTTCATGAAGTTCTATTGAAACAAACAATACATATGTGATTAAAAAAATTATAAAATAAAATATTTTTTTAATATATGATAATGGATGATGGTATGGTAACTCTGCTTGCGCTATCAATATACATATGCTAGCGGGGTTCCAATAAGAGATGATAGGCGAGGATGAAACAGGTCAGTTATAGTAACGAATTCATAAAAGAATTAACCAAGATGGGTTTCAACCGCGTGGAAATCGACCGGATTGAGCTAATGTTTAAGATTAACTCTCGATTGGATAGTCACAGGTATCGACTATGATTGTAGAGATAAACCTAATAGGTATTTATAGAAAAAGAAAGCTCTTTTCCACGGAAATACATCTGACTGTAAGATTTTGATTTATGCGCTTTTTACATAGGTATTAATTATGCCTTTATATATGTATGCACTTTGGTATGGTGAAATAATTTTATACTTAGTCTTACCCTATCTATAAACGTAGATATAAAACATAACATAAGGTTATATAATTGTATTCTTGAAAGTATAACTTAAAAACTGGTATATGTTTTATCTTACTTATTTATAAATTTTAAGATTTTCTACACGGAACGTAGCACCCATATAGATCTCAATTCTTGTTTTTAGCGGAATCGAAACGATGCATATCAATTATATTGAACTTGGCTCTCATTTCACATTAATGTTTTTGATGAGATATTATTACTTTTTGTACAGAAATTATTAGTATTCATCATTAATACATTCTTATTTGTAAAATTATATTTCTACGTTTTCACTATACAGTTTTCTTTTTCGTGCTATTTTTCGTGTTCTATTTCTAACTTTTTTTTGCCAGACCCTCGTTACCCACGTTGTGTGATAGCATCGGAGCGAAATCAGCAGACAAAATCAAATTTCAATATCTTACGACACGATATAAGAAAGAGAATTTTATATTTATATTCACATTACTTTCATATTTAACTTCGTTATTTTTATGTTGATGCTTATTATCAATAATTTTAAATTTTCAGATTTACATATTCATAATAGTTTACCTTCATGCGAAATACAAAGTTTTTAGATCATCTGGAAGTGGGTTAGGTTTTTGATCTATATGTCTGTCAGTGAGTCAGTCATAAAAACACAGGTTTTTAAAAATTTATATATCAACTGCTATTTGAGCCACATTTATGATATTTCTATCGTTAAAAAATATGTATTTTATATCTATTGTTTTTTTTTATTTTTCAAACTTAATAAATTGATTTCATAAAATTTATACAAACGTTTTCTTTTTATTCAAAGTGACGGACTATTAATGCAGACTTGGTATAATTTTATTTGGAACTTATGGGTACAAATTTTCGATATTGAGGAAAATCATTATATTACATTTAAATAATATATTTTGATTGAAAAGAGATTCTCAATATCACTGTATTGTTATACGATATTTCTGAACCAATTTTAATAATTCCTAAAAAAAATAGCGCAGTTTATTTTGTAACTTTAAAATTAACAGCTCCTGCCATCGCGTTAATTGATATTTACGAGAAAGTAAATAACTTACCATAAATACTAATGAAGGAACTGGTGTCAATCTTTTTATGTCTATCAACGATATAGCCAAAGGAAGGTGGCCATTTCTCGCGCCCACGAAGAACAACCGAGATGATGCGTAAATAGCCCCATTTAAAGAGCCCAATGTGCAGAGCGCTACAAATAGAGGCATGATCCATGCCACCACTCCAAGTATCTTTTCACTGAAGGTAACAGCAACTGCTTCGGAGGCAAGGATCTCATCATTGCTTAATACTGCGAAGAATGCTACGTTGGTGAATGTGTACACCATGGTCACCACTGGCATTGATATGCAGATTGCTCGTGGCAGGTTCCTGTAAAGTTACAAATTACTTTTGAAGTAGATAGTTCATACTAAATATTGTTAAACTATTGAAGTTTCTATTATTCTATTTAATCAGTTAAGATTCATTATATATTAGGTATTATTAAATAAATTGCTATTTAACCTTTCATAATTTATTCTAATCTATATTTAAAAAATGGGTGCTACCCTTAATTTATGCTGTATATGTATACTAGACAACAAGTTTTAAAAAATGAGTGCATGAATTTCAATGAAATAATCGATTACATCTTAGTCCATCACTAAAATAGTTCTGTCAGGATCAATCGAACGAATCTTGAAATACCGAATAGACAATCTGACCTGTTGTACTAATCTCTGTTGTATCAAGCACAGATTAGAGAGATTATGTCTAGCATCATGACGCATATAAATGTAATTTTGAAAAAGTATTAATTTTGATTATCAAGTGTAACAATCGATTTGCAAGCATATTTTAAATGTTTACCAGAGGGAGGCTTTGTACAAAAGTCGTATGCTTGGGCACCTCTATCCCATTCGTGTTTCAACCGTGAAGCAGTTGTGTTTGCATGGCTGTGTTTCGGTTTGAAGGGTGGGATATGGCAGTGAATTTACAGGATACAGAGAAATAACTCCCGAGTCCTCAGGAATGGCAACGCATGGGGGTATCATGTGCGACACAGAATACTGTGTTATGTCCATGGTACTGCTTATGTCTGTAGGCGACGGTTACCACTTTTCATCAAATAAGCCGTCAGCTTTTTTGCAATTCTAAGGTTCGTAAAAAAAGTGTGGAAGTATTTAGCGATATTTGATATTGTATGTACGGAAGTATGTTTGTCGGATTTAATTTATTCTTTCCATGTTCGTCCCATCTTTCTCCGGATGAGTCAGGCAATGGCTGTATGATCGCACAGCCAAGTCTTATTTTGGTAGTTTCTGATTCAAAACCGTATTCGGCAAAGAGGCATCAAGCTATTTCTTTTTCGAATGAAAAACGGCATACATAAGGAGTATAAACGTGGACCATATACCGGTTAACAATACTTTGTGTCAAACATTATGCGGGCAATGCCACAGGATATAGCTTATAAGAAATAAAGTTGTTGCATAGTTATTCGATATTATCGATTTGAACAGTAGGATATAGCAGTGACACTACGAGGTATGAAGGCATTACACCATGAATTAAGGATAATCATAATGCGGTTCTTGTCTATAAACGGTTACCACTTCCCATCACGTGGGTCATTAAATTGTTTGCGATTTTTAACCGCATAATTTCCACAAAAAGACTTCAGAAGCGGCAAAATCAATTATTTTTATTTTAAAAATAAACTATTTAATCAATTTTGATTAATTTTCTATGAGACTAATCTGAAATTATATCTTTTCAGATTAAAAAAAAATCCAATTCAGTTTATAAATGACGGAGTTATCAGGTAACGAACATTAAAGGATGCAACAGAATTAAAAACCTTTTTTGTAGTTGGTTGGAAAAAACAATTTATAAGTGTAATTATACTAATAATAAATAAATATTATTTACTAACTTGTAAGGTTCTTTCAATTCTTCAGTTACGAAATTGAGGTAATTCCATCCGGAGTAAGAGAACAGCCCAGTGTAGAAGGCAATCGCCAAATCCCCAGGATCAGTCTTGGTACCTTGCATCATGGACTCAAGGTTCTCGGTGTGACCGGAGAATAAGTACCACAGACTAGCGATAAACGTAACGAGCAGAGCTAGTACTTTGGCAGCCGTGAATGAATCCTGCACTCGCGTCACCCATTTTACATTGTAGCAATTAATAACGGTGAGGAAGCCTGTAATGTAAGAAAGAGTATTCTAAAAATCACCAATATCTTATTCAGAGATCTGTGACCTATAATGATATCTAAACCATTTTGTAGTCTTCTGGAATAGTTTATATACGAGTATCTATGAGTACGTTGACTGAAATAATCACATCTCCATGCGCAATGGAGCTAAAACAAGCTACTAAGCTACATTCTTAATAATAATAAAATTGAAATTGTATGGGTGACTAATTAAGAGGAAGCCTAAAACCTACCAAATAGAAAGTAATAAACAATGTAGTTGTTTATTTAGAGGCATCAAAACAATGCACGAGGATTTTTCCGTTCGGTATGTGCCGACCGTAATTGGTTAACTTGAGCGCTTCCGTACATTAGTGGGCACGGCAAGTAAATCGTTCCGATTGTTAATGTCAAATCAGAGGCTCTCGAATGACTTGGAGACTAAGACAACCAAGATTCACCATTCCGTTTCAAGTCCACGTGGTCGATTAAGTTTTTTACTTAAGTATATATTTTTATTTTTACTCCCCTTATGGGGAAGTCTTATGTGTATAACAGTGGACAATTAAGGGCTGAAATAATAATAATAATATATTTTTATTTGAGATATTAAAATGTTTGTAAATTGTAAGACCGCAAATAATATAATTCTATAGGCAATTTGAGGACACATTCGAAATTTGGTATTCAAAAGGATAATATAGCCAGTAGGTACAATGTGTTAAATTATACGAGATAAGAGTAATTGTTAATTCGTTAGTTCTCAGAAATAACGAAGTATAAGGAGTTAAGGAGAATGCGATGCAATTATTGTATTAGGCAAAGTTTATGATGCGCGCTATTACTTGCAGGAATCAGGAAAATTGTAAATAATTAATGTATTATATGTATATCTATTGAACGCTCCGTTCCATACGTTTACTATAATCGACAACAGGAGTTAGCATTGGGTCCGATTTCCTAACAGTCAATCACGTAGGTCATCAAGTGCCCTTATCGACTCTGTACATGGCAAGATAATCCGCACAAGAGTATGTGTCAGTACGATGCGGGAGGAAGCCCTCATTATCCTGTCAGGAGCAATCAGCACAGGCGGCCGTGCTACAGAATGCCATGTACCGTCGTATATAAAGACACGGACACAGTTCTATTGTCGAAGTTAGAGCACAAAGGCCTCGGGACTGATCTTGTCTCGTATTGATGCAATGTAGGTCCACGTCGAAATAAATAAACGTATGCCTACAGGAGTGTGGTAACAATAGGTATATCTCTGTATGTATATGACCTGGTCATCTAAATTACAATCAAAAGCATTTATTCTGCTATAACAATAATTTCAATGAGTGAAAAGGCGTTTCATACATACATTGTTTAAAATAATTAAATTTTGATCATGCAGTCATGTGTGTACATGGATGTGTGATGTGTGCTCCGCACGGAAAACTGCAGCTTTAATTGTCAGAAACCTAATGTGGGACCAACATATCTATGTTTACATCTGTAAATCATATCATATAATAATTAATTTTACAGATAGGATTTACAGATTCTTTATTATAGTTTCTTTGTTATACTTTCAGACTCTTTGTTATAGTTTCGTTTACTTACATACGTTTAAATAATTCGATCGTAGGTGAGACAGAATACATATAAATTTGTATTGATCTTCGTATTTTATAAACTTACTACGTTTGTCGTTTCCTACTATTGTTTCGAAACAATACAAAAGAAACTAAAATACAATATGATTTTATTTTCAAACTTTATTGTTATGTTTATCTTTTTTAATTAATACCCAATTTTTAAAAGTATATCAGATTAATTCGCGGAGTTTCGGCTCGCCAAATGCATCTGAATAAATCATTACACTTCTCTTTAGAGATAATTGTAAATAAATTATTTGAAATTCGAGAAACAGCATGGGGCGCTGTCAACCTGACCATGTCTTACCATACTTATAAATTTATGAAGTATCACGTACGGCATATCATACTTTATACACAAGTAGTAAGATTCATATTGTATATTTTGAGATAAAAATAAAATGGTTCCTGTAGAAGGTGTATAATTCTCAGAAATTATATGTCTGCAGAATTTACTGAGAAAATATCTGATACTATAATAAGACGAAAGCGATGGGCAGGTTTCTCGAGATGCTGCATTAAGCACGTATATGGACGGATGTTATGTGGTAGATCCATATCGGAATGAATAAGATTGTGTCTTAAGCAAGTATAAATATAATAACCGCTTAAGCATTACAAATATTTGTTGTAAAACTCTATTTAACATTCATCGCTTTCAGTGAGGGTAAAGGTATTTAATTTGTTAGTGTTGATTCACTTCAAATTCTCATCAAATTAAAATGAAAATGACATTGTATTTTCAAATCAACCTAATGTGATAGTACAATTTTTTTGTCAGTATCCTTGAATACTGAATAAAAAATACTAAAAAAAAAATTTTGTGCAAAATACATCTAACACTGTCTCACTAAGTATTCTTGTGTATGCTATGTTCCGATTTCAATAACGAGGGTACGGCAGCGAAATTTTTAATCAAACAAAGAAATTCATGTCATACATTTGGCTCAAGAAAGAAAAGAAGTGATATCCAAGCTTGATAGACTGCGGTGACCGCTTGCCATTATGGCTCCTTGATTTAATAAAAATAAATATCACCATTCATCATCAGGTTGGCAACCGCAGTGTGGCTTTTAGAGATGTTTTAATAGAGATGCTGTTGTCTATTCCATTTTAAGTTCCTTTACTCGCCTCTTACGATACTCACAGGAAAGGAAGAGGTGGCCTATTCTATGCCGAGACCACAAAGAAAAATAAATATACTAACAGGTAATCAATGCTGCGATGAGGCTGACGGCATCTTCAGGAGGTTTACACGCAGGCCACAGCGGCTTGAGAATGTTTTGTGCGAAGGTGAGTGCCTGTGATGGCATTCCCGGTTGGCACTAAAATGAACAGCGCAACCCATAGATACAGGAATGAAGGAAGAGCACCGAAAGCCTCGCCGATGTATGCATAATCTCCGCCCGATTTGGGGATCATAGTACCTGGAACAACAACAGTTTTATTGAATATATAACTATTGTGTTAGTATAATACAATTATTAGATACCCAGTTAATATTATGAACTACCACATCAACTTCATCGTGAATTGGCCTGGTCCATAACTGTTACGCCTACATATGTTTTTACAGATGACATATGTATAAACAAGTGTAAATACTATTTACGCAAAAAAATGCTTTATTCAATTTCTTAATCATATTTAAATCAAAGCACATGCAAACACAATTGCTTCACGGTAGAAACACGAATGAGACAGAGGTACCCAAGCAATCGACTTTTGTACAAAGTCTCCCTCTGGTAAGAGTGTCACGTGCCGACCTTGGAAGCATGTTAATATATTCTTTTTGAAGAACCCTATACTGTCGTCTATAGGGAAAACTTGGCAGGGAGTTCATTCCACAGCTTGAACGTTCACGGCAGATAATTTCTTTGAAACCGCACTGTACGTGACCATTTAATATTAATAATATAATTAGTAGTTAGCGGTATTACTTTATTTTTATATATTTATTTTATAAGTGGTAACATCCAGTTTTAACAGCACTTATGACAATTACACAACAGATGTATTACACATCAGCCAATAAAGTTCGCACAGAGTGAAAAAATCCATAAAAGGAAAAATAACCATACTACAATACTATTTAAATTACAGCAAACGTACTAAATTTAGAAAATTTAATACTACACTTTAGGCTGTGGTATATTTTTTATATCACGAAGGTGGCAAACATATCGAAGCTTACCGAAGTGTGATTACGTCGGAATTATCTGTCAATTTTTAAATATACGAAAATAGATTCTTAATATTTTTGATTGACTTATTTAATAAGTGTTGTGTTAGTGAACTAAAATGTTAATTAGGTATGCTCCTCTTTTAAATCTGGCATTGAAAAATTGGATTTTGAAAGCAAGAGTTTTTGAAAACTTTCGAAACATAATAAGAAGTAGATGCAAAACTTCTAGTAGTACTATAAAATTATTTTATGATTAACTTTTCAAATAATCAATCAGGAACATTAAAATTAATCAAGTTATAATAAAAATTGACAGATAACTACCTAGTATAGTATTGATACATGGAAATAAACTTGAATATGTAGTTGACTAAAACCTATACAATATCGATATGGAAGAAATACAGGTTTGGTAGGTCAGTGTATACCTATCTATCAGGCAAATTTCACTTTCTAGTAGACTAACATATTCATGATTATCTGGGAGAGACGTTAGAACCGGTGTACAAACATGCCTAGTACGAGTTATAAAACTGGATTTTGTAACCTTGTTAGTGTAAATATTTATTGCACTAGGCATAATACAAACCCTCGTGGTATTAAACCTGGGAAACAAATACATAATTACTGGTTTATTATGAGTAAAACATCTATTTGCCTAAGTTTTTTCTCTTGTGAAGAGCTTTGCATGCACCAATGGTTTGAAGCTTGCGATTTGTTTTCGTATCTTTTGTTTGTATTCTATGTAGGTGTAGTAAATACTTCTTTAAATGTTTTAAAGTATTCAAGTGTTTGTATATATAAATTATTCACAATCTATAAAAGCTCTGCTTAATTTGCAACTAGATGACGTTGTGTAAGAGTTGGTGCTTATTTATTACATTTTATTTAGAAGCGTATATCAAAATGATAAATGGCACAGGTATTTGCGGGACAACATCATTATGTTGCAGATGACATGGTAAATAGATACAATGTATACTTAATGCTTACGTATTAAAGTTCATATTTGCACACATATATTAAGAGTGCAGTGGTTTCACGATTGGCCACTTTAAGTCAATTGCAGGATATACCTGCAGGACGAGGTCACAAAACTGTGGAATTGTGTTAGTCGATAGTAACTTTTGTAAGTCTTTATTATCCATATTTTCTATTGATTACTCTATATTAGTGTACACACTTTATATAATAACTTGAGACTGTTTCGCAAAGAAAATAGTGACTATACGTAATCATGAGAAAAATAATATGAATGAACATAGGAATAGTAAATCCCTGTGGTTAATAACTGACGAAGATAGATAGAAGGGTACTTTTTATTTAATTTTTTTCATTATAGTGGTAAACTCATTATAAATACAAACAAAACACTAGGCGGTTTTATCGCTAAAAGCTATCTCTACCAGGTAACCTTCTGACGGAGATGTCGTGAAATATACATATTTACATACAAAAAGTCATTTAAAAACTGTATAATCTATGGCTGTACATGTACTAAGTAAGTAATACTCGTAAACAGATTCAGTTTGTACACTCGCAAATGTGTACACAAGTGCAGTGCATTTTTCGAATGGGACCATTTGTGACGAAAGAATCATTATAATATATTTGAAATAAGTTTACGAAGTATTTTTTTTTTCTTTTAGTCTCTTCTTACACATAAAGAATGTACTTTTTATTTTATAAAATAATACTGTAGCTTATGTAATGAAGTGATGGATAATTAAGACTTATTTCTTAATTTTTTTTTATACTTCCTTTTTTATTCTTAAAAGCACCGACTAACCTTTGGTGATGGAAAAAAATTATAATGAACTAATTTTATCTTTCGAAAAATTTCTTTACAAAAATTTATCTAAGTGACAACGGTAGACTAATCTACTGCTATATTGGAATCTAATGTGCCGAGCAAAGCGGTGCTCTTTGCATATTGAGTGTAATGTTTATCACAGTGGCAACTGTCAACAAATACCTCTAATAACCGCATTAGGATTATTTTATATAATTACATAATACCATATATTTTTTATAATCTTTTTTAATATTCAATACTTGGTACTAAATACTTACCTACCATTGATTAGGATAGAGGTACGTATATCATGTGAAAAAATATATGATGTAATGGGATTTATAAATATTTTTTATGAAATTTGTATGTACTCAATTTTTCCGTTCAGTAGTATGGGGAACACGTACAATTGTATGCGCATATGAGTTCACTCAACGCAATGCAAACAAATAGAGAAATATTTCGGTAAGGTTTACCAAATGATATATTAAAATGTTCTATAGCTTTTAAAAATTATTTATAAAAAGTGCATGTTTTAAATATACTAGAAGGACTTATAAATCGTAGTGTTTCATATATTAATGTTACCTCTATATAATAAACACGAATACATTTTAGTGGACTACTAAGCTTTTTAATAGATGGAAATGATAAAGAAAGTCTGCATACGCTATTGATATTAACTGGCGAGGTGCCTGCCCGTGAGGGATGACAGGTAAGGATAAACTCAGGACCATTGACATATTGTAATATCGCATGGAGGTCTATCTGACGGTATATTAGAGTCGTTAATTCGTTTTTAATTGAAGACTGAGATATTATTGAATTCTAGACGGTCATTATAAAAGATTATGCTATACCTACCTAATATACATCCAATTAAAAATAGCCGTAGAATAAAACCAAAAACATCAATTAAATTCGTTTAATAAATAAATAATAATTTCATTAATAATTTACTGAGCCGTGTAAACATAAAAATAATGTGGATTTATAACAGCAAAATATAAATATTTTATCAACGTATCATGCTGAACATGTTAAAAAAAATTTTTAAATCCTTATATTTAACTAAAAACTGTTTTTAAAAGCTAAGCTTACGATAAAAAGTTACAAAATATATGTATGACAAAACTAATAAAAAAAAATACAAGAAAGTTCACGATTGTAATTGATATGGTCGAGGGGATAAAATAAAATATACAAAAAATTAAGTATTAAAAAAAAATACTTAATGTAAAATTATAAATTTGGTAAGTAACAGTTATGACTATTATATGTTTTTGTCAACGACAGATGCAATCATTTCAATATTTTTTTAATAATTACGTCTATATCGAATATATATATTTTTAAAGAGGATCTTGTGGTAGGAATAAAACAGTTAACACACATCGATATTAAATAAACTATTTAGATTTTGTTGTCATTTTTATCGGTTAATGTTTGTCTAATTTGACTAATTTCCATTCGTGCATAATATTCAGAAGCACGCTGTATATAGCTTTATTTATTCCTTTTCTATAGGATAGGCAGACTACCTTCTTCTAGTTCTATCTTCAACTATGTTATTATTATAATTCTCTGTACATACAAATATTATATCCAAGAAGAATTAATTGAGTTTAATTATCGTACTTATATACTTATCTGTTTATTTATACTCACCTAATTCTGCATAACATAGGGCACCAACCATTGAAAGGAATCCGGAGAGGACCCATACAATGAGAGCCATACCCTTTGAGCCGGAGTGCTTGAGGAGCAGTGTGGGTGACACGAAGATGCCGGACCCTACTATCACACCGACGATAATCGCTACACCATTCATTAAACTCAACTCCTTCTTTAACCGAACACACTCGGAGGAGTCCTTGTCATTTTCACCACATTCCGAGCCTACGTCCATTGTTTTTGGCGCTAGTCCTTCAGCGGCTGATACTTTCGCCATTATAAATGTTCAGTAAATCACTAAATTGAAAAAAGAACACCCTATATTACGCGGCACAAAACTTTAGACACATGGTATAACTATTTATCACAATTATTGTCTATTTACCAAAATTCTGAGTCTTGTTCACGCAAACATTGCATCATACTGCGGATAAAATCGCCGCGGGAAACACCACGTGCATCTCGGTACACCATGAAACCGCCATAAGCTGATAAAAACTATATTAATGTTTCACCACCGCAATGTGCTGATAAAAAGTGGCCAATCAATAATGTTAAACTATATTACTACATTCAAACGTCACCTAATATTAAAATAAGGTTAAATTATTCGTCTAATTAAACGTTGAAGCGTCACTGTTAAACATTATTACATTAAATAAAATAATGAATGGAATATTTGAATATATTGATAAGTACACGACGAGAAAAAAATTATCGTCAAAACAAAATCGAAATAGAACACGCCATATGGTCCTAGAACGGGTTGGAGACGTTCGTCGCGTACTACTTACTATTCACTTTGCCGCTTTACACAAGTTAACTACAGGCGGGCCCGTCTACCGGCGACGTGAGTTGACTCATGCTTAAAAAGTCATGGGTGTTGCTGCGCAACCAATCTATAGTCGACCTTAATGCTAGAAAAGAAGTGCGTGTTTTAAGAGGCAACGTCCCCCTGTGAATTCATTGCCAAGTTTGAATAACTAACTGGTTTGCTATCTATCTCTCTCGACCGTGCTTACCACGTGTGCTTGCCATTTTTACAATTTTTATTCAAACAAGATACACTCATCCTGGAATGATTGAATATCTGATAAGACTGTATGTTGACCGTTATCTTAATAGAACAGTTCGAATATTCAGCTGTTAAACAGGATACGAACAATTCATTTGGTGGCATCGCTTGGAGGTCAATGACAGGTATGACGTATATCATTGTGTTTTTTCATAGAAATAGAATTTACTATGTACACAACATTAGTGGACCACGTCTCTTATCAGAAAATAATCTTACTAGATCACAGGTGTAGAGACAGAAGGTCTCAGACCGAATTCGATAGGACGTTATTAAAAAATTAGAACCTATTTAAAAAAAAGTATTCTTAAGTCGACTATATTTTTCGTTAGAATCATCGCGATAGTGTAAACCTTTTAATTTAAAACAAGTAGGTTTTGTTTCACAAAAAGCTTATTAAAATTGTAACAATACTAAATCAAGCATAATCACAACTACGAACCGGTTATTTTCATTTAAAACTCAAACTACTGAACCAATTTTGATGAGATTCCCATGGGAACAAACTCGAAGAATATTCTTTCAAATGAAAAAAAAATCCAAATCGATTTATAAATGACTGAGTTCTGTGGCAACACGGACTTCAGTGATCATTTACAATCAGACGAGCTGTATATACTTTTTCGTCACCTTCGTGGCAATGAAACAAAAAATATAATAACCGAATTAAGATTCTTCTTATTCTTTAGTCGGTTAAAAATAAACATCAAAATCGGTTTACTGCTGAGGAAGATAATGAGGTCGATTCTGAGATGCCATGTCTCTAAATGTATCTCTAAAATTAAAATTTAACACCTAGTTAAGTTTAATATTAAAATACTTTTGATATTACAACAAAATTTTTATCCTAAGGACTAATATGAATTAAATTCTTAATACAATTAATTCAAAATTATAATAAATTTAGTTTATGATGGTCCATAGCAATAATTTGAGTATACAAGTCATTTCGAGATACTATCAAATTAGAATATTTGGTTTAGAGAAATTGCGTCTCAGAATTGATCCTAATGCCTATGTTAATAAAATGAAAAACGGTTTCTTAAAATTATTATTAACGTTAATTATATATAATATATATAAATAAGCTTCATTATTATTGAATATTAATGAAATGTGTACGTCACCTACATACACATTTCATTCAATATTTCAGTAAATAAATTGGATAAATTAAAGATATATTATAATGATAATCTTAACACATATATGATAAAGGTGTTTTCTGAGGTGAAATATCTTTAAAATATTTTTTTTAATTTTCTTTTTATTCTGCTGTTTGTATTCAGAAATTAGTATTTCTTTTTGTAAGTACTTTAACTATATAATTTCAAAAAGTTACTAGAAATATTTTTTTTAGAGATTTTAATTTAACAGTGATTGTTCTGAATAGCCCTGGTTATGTACCTTTTATAGATGTGTATTGTGTTAATAAAAAAATACTATGTTTTATAAATATAATACGAAGAAAAGACGTATTTAAAAAGAAGTATATATTAGTCATTGTCTTTGTTTACGTCATATTTAAATATTCTAGCTGTTCCATCATCTGACGCAGTCAATATAATATTTTGTTTCACATTATAAGAAAATTCTAAAACTTCTGATTTGTGTCCAGTGAGTAGTAAGCATTGCTCTCCAGATCTGCCCTCATAGACTCTCACAGATCCATCCAAGCATCCAACAACAAGATGGTTTTGTATCCAAATCATTTTGGTCACCCCTATGATTGTGGTTTCATCTGATCTAGTACACTCATGTCGGACCATTTGTCTTGATGTATCCCATATACTGATAGAGCCAGTTAATGTACCTAAAACAGATTAAAACTCATTAAAGCATTGTGAATTAATTAACCTTATGATAATCATATTACATAGCGCCACATAGGCTAAAACTGAGTTTTGGGTTCTAGACATAAATTAAGGATAGCACTTTCGGTCTTAAGTAACTGTAAATATCTAATATTTTTTTACATACATATAACATAATACTCATAAAACACCTAAACTAAAATCCATCACAGTGTTTGCACAGTTTACACTAATATCTGAAACCATTCATCCAATTTTAATCAAATTTTGTAAATGTGTATTACTTATTTTAATTTGAAACTACAAGTTTTTATTAACTAGGGGGATGACATTAGCTAGGTTAGTGACAAAGTGAACATATGATCTGAAATTATGGTAAATTGCATAAATACTCCTCACTATGTAGTGTAAATATTCAAATACATTTGTGGTGGGTGGAGGGTGTGTAACCATTGCCAAGTTGGTGTAACGCATTAATCAATATATATATATATATATATATATATATATATATATATATATATATATATATATATATATATATATATATATATATATATATATATATATATATATATATATATATATATATATATATATATATATATATATATATATATATATATATATATATATATATATATATATATATATATATATATGTTATATATATATATATATATATATATATATATATATATATATAAATACATATATATATATGAATGAAGCTAGCAAAAAATGGCAACTATATTACCTCTTTCTAATATGTTATTTCCTTCATTCTTGTAATTCAAATGTACAAGCAAATAGTTAAGCATATTGCACTAAATTACAACAAAAAGTGCTTTGAATTATCTAGAAATACATTATTTTGTATTTACCTTCACCAAAATGAATTCTGTTACTGTTTATTAATGTTTCCTTACAGAAAAGGCAAACAAAGTTGTATATATGTATGTGTATACAGTAAAAACTAAATTATATACTAATATAAATAAATATTACTAATATAAACTAAATTATAAATAAATTTTACAATCACCTGTTGCAAAGTAATCTAACTGTGGATTCTTTGAGAATGCTACAATTTCTAAATCAATATCAGACTCCAATTGTCCCACAATTTTGCCATTATTTGATGCAAACAAAACTAATTTACCTGTGAAATAAAATTAAAAATATTATTTTTTCATCCTCTAAAAATATTTTATATTGTTAAATAAGTGTATAAATAGTATTTGTGAACAAAACAGGCATTACCATCACCAGACACTGATGCTACCAGATTATTCTCATGATGTGTGTCTATTTCATTCACTCTCATTTTATGAACATTGCTAGGAATTTGTTGAAGTACCCTTCTTGTTTTTAAGTCCCATATTTTGACTGAACCATCTTCATATCCAGCTGCTAAACGTACACCATCATTGAAGAGCTGAAAAATTATGTAAAACATAAAGATGTTGGCATTCTTCTATAAGATTTTTAACAATTTAATTTTTTTTTATTTTGTATCAAACTAGCATAAATTTATTAATTTGCATAAAGACTTTGAAGGTTCAAAATGTGAATTTCAAATGCTCATATATTGTATTGAATGAATTAACAGTAAAAGGTAAAGGTAATTATTGTAATTCAATAATTCTGTGTCAGTGTATTTCTAAAACCACCCTCACTGTTATAACTTTTTTATGGAAAAAGTTATTATTATGTAACTAATATATAGTCTGTCATAAGTGATAATACTTGATTCACAATAAAAAGTTATGATTAATTTGTATTAATCGTCATTTGATACATAATAGTAAAAAATTTAGGCAATATGAATTTCGAATTTTATAATATATTTATTACAGAGCTTTTACAGATGTCTAGGTATGCTCATACGTTAATACAGTTTCCATAAATTATTTATATTAAAAAGTGCAATATTTGATATTTCATTATATGGACAAATATAGCTTAAACATAATTTATATTGTATTTCAAAGAAATAAAATTTATTAATTGCTATATTATAATTATATTTACTAATCTAAGAAAATGTTGTTTTCTTCACATGACAGTGAAGAGTAAATGGACGCAGCCACCGTGGCCATTTCCCTTACAAAGTTAATAGATAAACTGTGCCAAAAATCTGACTAGACTGCAAGATTTCAACACTTGCAGACTAAAAGTGACTGACTAAATATTGGTCTTGTCATTTGAGTGATTACTTTGATTTAGCTAAATTTATACTGACTCATACATGAATAATTTTGAACTCATACAGAATAATTTTAGCCATTAGTAAGAGCAGTATAGTGAATGAATAAAATTTTTAGTCAAATGATTTTCAAAAACATTAGAATAACTTAATTGAATAATATGACTATTAGTAAATTCACACATAGCTAGGTATAAGCTTTAGCACACAAGTGACAGCTGAATTTTTGGCAGTTTTTACTGTAAGAGAGCTGTACTGAGTTCTTACTAAAATCTTCTTATATAAAATATACAAAAGTATGCTCTAATGGACAAAGTATAAATATAAAGACTGTCAGTAACAGACTGCTTAATATAAAAATCCACATACCTTGCCACATTCAACTTTCTCATTGGGGCCTTGCAAAACTTTTGTTTCACCTGAAGGTATTTTGAATACATATATATCACCAGAGATTATTCCACATATTAGTACATGTGCACCAAAATGCCAAAAACCCCAAGTAAAATCACCAGATTCATATTCAAAGACAGCTTTCCAGGGTTCTTGTTGATTGTTTTCTAGATTGCATTTCCAAACTTTAATTAAGCCACTCATATCTATTGTAGCTAAGTAAACACCATCAAAGCTAAATCCCACAAAAACAACAGAATCCTTGTGGCCGGTGCAATCCATTACAATTTGTCCTGAAGCCACAGACCATACATAGGCCTTGTCATCTTCACCACCACTCACTGCTAAATTACCATCAGGATGCAAATCACAACAAAATACAGATCCCACATGTTTATCGAATACCAGAATGGCATGATCTTCAGGTGATTTCATTTCAGTATCCTCTTCATCATCCTCCATTTCTTCGTCTAGTTGGATTTCGTCCACTTCATCCAAATAAATAACACCATCAGCATCCATTGCTGAAATCTCGTCGCCACTTACGGATGACGGTGGCGTGTCCTGTTGATATTCTCGCATTTTCCTAAAATATTAGTAGGAATTTACATTAAAAAAATATTTTACATTGATAAAATAGTTTCTATGTTCAACAAAGTATTGTTGTATTTAGAGCAAAATATTAGTGAATAACGGTAAAATGGACTGCAGATAATTCTTGTTTGATTGGCTTATCGCTAATCATTTAATTAGCAAAATAGTAGAGAAATAAATTAAAAAATAACCTGTATTCTCAAACAATTTACTTATATACAGTAGTATTCAACTATTAAAGGAAATATAACTGTGATTAGAAATTAAGTAATGAAATGTTAAAAAGACATGAACTTGCCTTAATTATAATTATAACCTATTTTTAATTGTAAGATAAGGTATTTAAAGTTATTCGAATACACGTCACAGATTAAAACACAGATTAGAGAGACCAAGATCACAGAGCAAGTAATCATACGTAGTCTTTTTCACGAAAGTAGTCCCCCAGACGCAGCGCTGTAGTCGCGTGACATAATGTTGCCATTTATGAATAAAAAATTTACCTATTTTACATTTAGCATATATAATTTATAAAATAATAATATTTCCTGCATTATTCGATGAAACAATATAAGCTCTTAAATTGTATTAAGAAATAAATACATTTTAGATAGGTTGTAATTTCATTACTTTTCATTATAACAATAGTTCAAATTAGTGAAACATGTATATTTTTGATAAGTCAAAAGTTTATTTGGGCATTTTTATCAAAATGTCTACCAACCCACCTCATACCTCATTTGAAACTATTTAATAATAACACGACACTTACAGAGTCATAATAACGTTAGCTATTTTGACTTATTACATGGGTCATCCCAAAAGTGGGTTGGTAGACATTTTGATAAAAATGCCCATTTACCTTTATTAAATATATTTCTGCTATGTAAAAAGTATATTTTTATTTACTTATATAAGCGGTGTTCCACTTACAGGGAAAAGATGTGAAAACAGGGTAAAGAAAAGCATTACAATTTTTTATTCAGTTTTATTGAATAATTGTGATCAGTGGCCAAAGGGACATCACTGTCTGAAGAGTGGATGGAAACAGAATCAGATTGTTTCAGTTATGTATTTGTTCAGTTTTGTTGGAAAAATAAATTTATATCATAAAGTCCCATTAATAGAGTAAACAATTATTATATGACAACTCTAAAAAGTATCTGTTATGGCAGGGAATCTCTTCCGAACATTGTTTAGTAGTATTAAAACACCTTGATTCTTTTGTTCCGCTTCACAGGACTGTTTCACCTTTAATATCATTTCTCGAACCGAACTTTTTACAACTTTTGGCATTGTAAACAATCTACAATTAAAATGCACTAAGCTAGTTAAAAACTCACAAAAATCTATCACAACAAACGAACTTGATAACATCGACGAAAGACAACATGGCCGACCTGTTAAATTTAGTTTCAAAAATCACCGCAGGACTTCTTTGATGAAAAGGACTCTAATAAGAGTTGACACCGACCTCGCATCAATGGGCTGAAAATTATAAAATAACTAGCTGATGACCGCAACCTTGTCCACGTAGTATTTGTTAATCCTTTTTTTATCTCCTTATTGTAGTGATCCTATATTCCCGTGTTCTGTGTGGTCTCGGCATAAAATAAGCTACCTCTTCCTTTCTCGTGGATGTCGTAAGAGGTGACTAAGGGAGAATGAGAAATAAGCAGCGTCTTTCTTAAAACATCTTCAAAGCCTAACTGCGGTTGCCAATCCGCCTACTAAGTGTGACAACTATTGGCAAAACTCTCATAAAGGGGAGGCTTATGTTCAGCAGTAAACAGTTATAGGCTGATATGATGATGATCAAGATTGTAGTAAACTCGACGAACACGATCATTAAATAAAAGAAAAAAAAATCGACAATTTTATGTAATAAAATTTTATGATACAAAACTTACTATTACTATAATTATATTGCATGATAACCTTGAATTGATATATTGATGTATGTACCTACCTATTTATTATGTCTAGGAATACTGGACGAAAAATAATAAATGATGTGTCGCTCCTTAATTTTCTGTGATTAAAAGTATCTAAAATATTGACCGGGGATGGAAGGTACCACCATGTAAAATATCATTTAAATTGATCCAATAGTTTCGAAAATTAGCCCGTACAAAAAGAGAAACAAAAAAAATTTAAAAAATCTATGTGTTCTATTTCACTTCTAACGTCCCTCTAATTCGGTTTTTAAAAGTTTTTTTCTATGTATCGACATTCGACCTCTATTATTTATTTTATTTTATATTATAATATATAGTATATTATTTAATTTAATTTTTCAGTTTAATTTTTAATTATAAAATTATTGTGTAAAATTTTTGTTCATTTACATTACTAGATTATATACGTGACACAATTTATGTAGAAAGTACGCAAGCAGGTTGTATCTGAATTTGGTAGGTTTTACGGCCGCATAACATTTTTTATACACTAGCCTGCTATGAATTGACATTATATGACTATTCTTCTCTAACGCATTGGCAATGTTATAAATACAACGAGCAAGAAACTATATGAATTATGCATTCCATCTATTGAATAGATGAATAGAATAGATTCTATTCTATTCCAAAATCTTTGGCCATAACTTTGACTGTCAGGCGCCTATTTAAAATGGCCATGATCCATCATGATGGAATACAGTTTGGTAACATAGTTTCATACAAAAACGTCATTCCATATTTCAAGGATTGGAGGCAATTGGTTGTTTGACGCTTAAATATTAATAAAATTGCGTTTATTTAGAATATTTACGAGAATGCGTTACTTTTACTATTAAAATGTTACTTTTTCAGCAGGCTCATGTTCTATCGGATATTGGCAACACTGCTAACACAGACTAGACTAGTTTCATGCAAAATTCCATTTTTCTAACCTCTTTGGAACGGCGTCTTATTATATCTATTTTATATAATTAATTAAAATAAATTAAAATACCTAATAATTGTATTACAGTTGTCTAGTAGATTTTAGAATATAGAATTATAATTTCTATGTATGACTTGTTAGTATACGATTGAAAAATGACTTCTAGAGGTAAATATTTATTTTCATAGTTTATAAATATTTATTACATATTTTGCTAGGTCTTTACATTATATAAATATAATTAATACAACCGTCTTCTGTAATAGCATTTAACTAAAGATGTTGCTCAGGTACCTTTAGGATTAGTAGGTTATGTAGTCATTAGGTTAAATATAATCAGTTTTAATTATTGTAAATAAATAGTTTCAGAATTCTATCGTAGTCAGTCACATTATGATTGTCTTGTATATACTCAAGGAATGGGTTTTTAAAGTATTTATTTTATCGCTTTAGGATAGAAAGGTAGGTTAGGTTTAGCAATTTACAACATCTACAAAACTAGTATTGGCCGCAGAGCAAAATTGTACATGGTTAGGTCTGTGTCATTGTTATGAAACAATCTGTAGTTTCCGACTAGATTGTTTCATAAAGGTTAGTTTATTATTCAATATAGTTATAGTTTTAGGTAAAATATACCTAAAACTATATAAGAAACTTTAACATCTCTGTAAATTATTAATGCCCATTAATTCCTCTTATGGTGAACAAGCTAAGTCAATTTTACTTAGCCTGTACTTTTTTAGCCTTAGTAAATCATTACAGGGTATTATAAGTTTGATATAAAAGAAGATAAAAGCCCTTAATAAAATAAAAATCACTTGTCTTAGGAGTAACTTTTTTTAATTCTTTCTCCATATTTAAAATATTTATACATCAATTTGTATTTTCATTTAATGGTTAGGTTTTAATTATTAAAAATGAACTGTTTATGTGACAGTTTCATTCCTGGAATTTTTTTAATAGCACAAAAATAGAATGTAAACATTTCTTATGCTGTCTGGTATACTTTTTTTAAAACACCGGTATGGGATGATAGTTGAGAATGAAAACAGGTCTGCCTTCCAGCAAGCAGTGAGGTCAGGTTGACTTATACATGGTAAGTCAACCCCTTATTACTAATTTTCCCTAGGATTTACAGAGATCCCCACCCTTCCATCCTTCACCATAGTATTGCTATAAGAAACCTATATTTTTTTTTCAGTATTTTTGCAGGCTCACACACCATTTATATTAACCAGGAGGTTTCGAGGCAAAATTAATATTCAAAAACCTAGGAAACCACATTTTGAAAGGCAGCTGTTATTAGATTTAAGCAAACCTATATATGGTCCATCGAAAAATACTCTGCCTGACTATGTTAATTGTGATAGAGGAGAAAAAGTAAAGAAAGTAGAAATTGACAATCCCTTTGAAAGGATATTAGCCAATGAGTGTCTCAATTGGTTCAACACTTCAAAAATGGTTGTATTTCTACATGTGAATTCAATCAGTATGGAAGAAAAGACTCCTGTATTTGCTGCTTTGAAAAAGAATAATATGCATTTGAGAACTTATGGTAAAAAAATTGTTAGCATGGCTACAAAGGGTACTCGGTATGAAGTAGTTAACAAATTGTTTACCTCACATCAAAACATAATTTTTGGTCAACCAGAAAATGCTGATAAGATGTTTAAAATATTAAAAAAAACACCACAGCTTGTTGTTATGGGTAATTATTATTTATGATTATTTATTCTTTTAGTATTTAGTGTAAATTATATATATATATATATATAAATATATATATATATATATATATATATATATATATATATATATATATATATATATATATATATATATATATATATATATATATATATATATATATATATATATATATATATAATATAGGAGTAAGCTATGATCTATATCTACCTAAAAAGAAAAGGATGTGAGTTTATAATAATTGGATATTTAAATAACCAGCAGATAATTGAGAATTTTTTTAATAAAATGACTGTTAAAATTAAGAGTAATCATATTTTATATTTATTCCTTTGTGTTTTTGTAGATGTATATTTTTTCATTATTTATTATATTATTATTAGGATTATTCATAGTTTATAAGATTATACTATCAGAATAATCAAAAACTGTTGATGAATTTCTCTATGAAACACATATATTCTATTTTTTTATTACTGTAAATAATTACTAATATAATTTTATTTTATAGCTGCAATTATACAAGATCGGCTGATGTCTAAAAATGAACTTGTAGAGTTCAGCAAAATGCCAAGCTTGGAAACAGCAAGGAGTCAGCTATGTGCAGTCCTAGAGAATGTAGGCTCTAGTCTCGTGGGTCAATTGAATGGAACTCAACAAATTCTTGTCTCACATTTGGAGAAACATTTAGAACTTCAAGGAAGTACTAATAAGCAAGATACTGAAAGTTAAAAATAGTGTAGTAGCATTAATATATGGAAATTATAAGTTTTTAATTGTAATATAGTGGTTTAGATACTTGCATATTTTAATTTAGCAATCTTATATATCTTGGTGCCAAATTCCTTGTACACCTTATAGATAGGGACTTATAATCTTAAATGAATTTACTAAACTGCTCTCAAGCGGTATGGTATGTATCAGGTTATCAGAGTTTCAGATTCCAGATCGTAAACGCCATCTGGCTGCGAACATAAAGTTACACATAAAATATAAAGAAAAACAGATAACACACTGTAAACAGATTTTCTCTACTTTCTCAAATAATTTTTATGAAACAAGTAATTTCGTTCCTGCATCTGTAAAGTTCACACAGAAATGTCGACCTATTTATTGTTAATAAAGTACCTAACTATGCAACTTAGGAAGTTATTGAATTTACCAAACTTCTAGGAAGCAAGTAAGTGTGACATTCACAAAACTAGATTATTAAATACTTATCTCTCCTTAAGTTTTTTGTTACTAAATGTCATCTATATGTTAGACGAGTCATCAGTTATAAATTTACTTTAATTTTTTTTGTAGTAGGCAAGGATCACAGACCATTATTTACTGTGTTGAAACAGTATGATAGTAAAATATATGAAATCATTAGTGTTTCCATACAGTTGCATATATTGTTCTTCTTTATTTTGACAGTAAAATCCTAAATTATGCTGTTGTGTTACAGTAAATTATTAAAGCACTTGATCAATTATAAGTATTTTGCTCTCTTATTATATTTGTGACTATACAGTTGTATCACTTAATTTTGGAAGTCCATGGTCACTAGAGTAAAATAACAACATTCATTTTAAAACAAACATTTCTTTTTATTATAATTTTAAACACATTCTTTGGTAAGGTTCAGCTTATTATGTCTAATGGAGATCAAATCGTCATTATCATCATATTTCTATAAAAGGCTTACATATAATAATACTTGAGCAAGACTGTTCAATAATGAGGTGTGTTGTATAAATTTTATTTATTTTTTGACTGAAATTATTGTGTACCTTTATTGACAACCAATGAACTCTTTAAAGAATCCCAGCCGTTAAAGGAAAGATTATATATCTATAAACGAATGCTTGTCAGTCAAATTTTATTTTAAGGTATTCTAATCAAAAGAATAGGTTACATGTATGTACCTACTTAGGAAAGTAAATAGCTCACTGACGCACTGTAGTATTTTTTTAACTCTTTATTGCACCAGAAATATAAAAATATACAGTAGTACCTATTTCTTCATTCGTGCTGTATCTAGTATTTGTAGTAACTGTTATTAGTGCTTTGGTCACTTACAAAACGTATATCTAACAAAAACTCACTACCTGGAATAGGTAGTTAGTTCTAGTGTAATTTTATATTTTATGAGTATTTCGTATTACACAGCCATATTACATATATATCTTAACCGCTGTCGGCCTATTTTAAATTTATTGTTCGTGGGTAAGTTTTTATTGGTGTAATTTCTAAAGATTTACTTTAAAGTGAGACAGCCCTTGATAATTTGTACTTTAACGTGAACGTTTGTGTCTCTATGTACCTACTTTGATAATGATAAAGTTACCAATCCTCGAAGTTAAGAATTAAAAAATATATGACTTAAATTGAGATGACTTACATAAGGTCATATAATATATATATATAGATCATGACATAAGGATCTGTGGACGTATTTTATCTCAAAAAATAAATCTGCAAACTTACAGCTTTGTCTTCCAATTAGTAAGCCTTATTTCTAGGCATATAAAATACTCATTTAGTTACCTCTTAAAATAAGGTACGAAAGGCATTGAAATATAAAAACAAATACTGTTCTCTGAAACCAGATCAGGGCGCAGTAAGGCGGCTCGAAGCACTAGCTAAAGTCGTTAGAGCTACAGCCGCTTCTACTTCGTCCCGGTCATGTCGTGTCGTATTAATTATCTTGTGGACCTTCGACTCGGTTTTTCGCCGTTTCCCGTCTGCCCACCAAGAGTAATTAGTCTCACTGGGTTGGAAACGTGCTGCACTCTCTAACCACTTACTAAGAAGGAGTGGACTAGTAATAGGCACACCACACTCATTATTATTGTGACCATCTACGTATGAATTATTGTTATATATTTCGTATTTCTCCTTGGACGTTGAGGATGTGTCCGATTCAACTGGTTGATATTCTGTCATATAATCTGGACTGTTCGTTAGCCCGTTATCAATATCCAATGATTCTGCGTTGGGACTGGCCTGGCCAGCTTCGCTCCATATGCTGTCGTCCGAGCAGATACTGAATTGCTCTACGTTGCCTTGCGCACGGTCATTATACGTACGGATTAAATGACCCCAGGTGTGTTGGTTACGATCAGCGTTGACATTCTTAAGTTTTCTTCGCCAATTAGCGAACCAGTTGCAAATCTGAAAATTGATAAAAAAATATGTATTTAATTTACCTGGTCCATACTAATAAGTTATTTATTTTATACTCTTCACTGCTTGCTAAAGGATATTCTTATTTCTTTCATTTTTCTTTGTAGTTAACTGAGTATAAAGTGAGAAGAGCATATACAAGATCACTCTTGGGGCATTCGTTCTTTGAGTTCGATACTGCTGAATTATAGTCATTATGGTAAAACCGTAACTTGTACATGATTTATTTACTTGCTTAGGTTTTATGCACCTATCTATAGGTGGATATTTGTACCTCTCCAATTTATTTATGGTCTATGGCGAGCAAACTGCTCACGAATTGCATTTTTTTAAGTGATGTCAAAATCTATTTCTATTGTTATGCTCATGTAAGGTGCTACTAAATTTGGTAACACCCTATTTATTTACTCCCTTTGTTGTATGGTTTATTGGTTAAAAAAGAAAACAATGCAAAATAAGAAGCGGTGATTTAATTTTTTTTTTATTATGATCCACCCTTACTAACACGGCGAATTTAACTGTCTTGTTAGAATGAGAGGCTTAAATCTTTTTCGTTCTTTTGACTATTTTTTTTGGGAAAATATATAATTTTATTGACAGAACACTAAAGAATGAATTTTTTTAAATGTCACGTTGTATTTCCCTTGATTATCAGACTCTTCAACTCACCCTCACTATTATTTTTTTTTAATTCAATATGCCATAATTCAAAATATTAGCATCTGGAACATGAGTAGGTTATTTTTGTTTTGTTTATAGAAATGACCAATCAGTCTATGTTCTTGGTTGGATTTTTACTTTGTGCAACAAAGTAGGTAGATACCAAACGATTCTTTGCTGTTATGTTTGAAAAACAATCACCACTACCTAACAGTAACAAAGCCCTGACAAATGTAGTGACTATTTATGCACAAGAAGTAATTCTTGGCATGCAGCCAATTAGGTTGTCGGTAAGCAAAATCGTGAAATACATGTTATTTGATAAAAAAATACAATATCCCTAATTAGATATCTGTGTTAAAAGTACAGTAGTTTTTCCAAAATTGAAATACTGTCATAGATTTATATAGTTATTTTTGTTTATAATTTTATATTCTATTTAATATTTTTTTTTCTATTTTTATCATAGCTATAGCTACATATAGGTATAATGTAACAATGTTATATTTACTTAGGTTTAGGTATATTTAAATATGCAAATACCTACTTTGGTATCAAGTACATTAGTGAGACATTGAATAGCACTTACTTGAATGTATGTTAGTCCTGTTTCGTGGGATAAATATTTCTTCTCTTCTCTATTAGGGTAGGGATTGTCTCTACGTCTAACCAACCAATCTTTCAAGTAACGTTTTATTTCTGGCGTGAAGAGCCTCTTCTGAGGTCTCTGACCGGCAACTAAGCTTCGCCTAAAACAGACGATTATATTAATAAAACATAAAAACAACGAACATGTCAAAATAAAGTTAGCTAACATGCGAGCGACTTGCTTTAACACTGACGTATTCGATATTACAAAATATAAACGATATTCATGTCTCATTCTACTTTGTCTGACTCACAAAGAAAATTAATCCTTACATACTGAAAACGAAAGTAGCTACTTAATGATTAATGACTCATTACCCAATTGTAAATACTGACCGTGTATATCTTCTGTTCCTAACAGGTCTAATGGATTTCCCGCTGTCTTCCTTGGCCTGGTGTCCATCCATATGTTTATTATTTTCTTCACAAGCCCCTTGAATAAGTGTCATCGGAGTGTTTTATGATAACTTATTTTCAGTGAATATTTAATCGACACGGTTAGGATGGCAGCACGTGCGAAGGGCACTGTAGCTTGCGACACGACTCGTGTCTCGAAACACTGCCGCTGCGGGGGATGGTTGGCGATCTATTAAAAAAATAAGGACATGATGACATAAATAGATCGTCTTTCGAACAGAACACAACACTGGCTAATTATTACGAATAGATAGGTAGATAGTGCACTATATCTTGTCTATATTAGATACCTAGGTACGTTGATGTAACCGAAACATGACGGTCACATTCCTCTGTTCACATTTAGATGTTATTAGCTCCTGATTGTTTTTTAGTACATGAATTTGTGGTTTTTCACCAGCCAAATGGAATACAGACTAAGAGGTTTAATTAATTTATACATTCAGTTGTTTTATATTCAGTAATTATCATAATGAACAAAAAACATGCTGACTATTACGTGTACATTCGAGGGTCAATGTTCTTGTATTCAAAGGCGATTTTAAAAAATTGCATTACACTACAAATTGTTGTAATCTTTTTTGTAATCTATCACATTATGTATTAAATAATACTGTAAATATTTATTTCATTTGGTGAAAACAATCGTACGTACCTCGGTGCGGGAAAGCTCACGGACAGTGTGAAAATGGCGTCGGATAAGCGCGCGACGGCAGCGCCGCGCCGCGGGCGCATCTCACTGCTACTGCAAATTCATGTTATTTATTTCAGGATGTCTCCCGCGATGTCTTCAAAACATGATTAAATAATAAAGAGGCAAGTATATATAACACATTCAGATTTGTAATTACAGAGATAATATTAGTCAAATTACGAAACTAAATAAAATATTGCATAAACGATTTCTTGAGTGATTTATAAAGACACCAGGTTTGCATTTCGTTTATATTTTTTGTGCATGTTATTTTTTTTATATCACTGAGGAGATAACCAAGCATACGGCCCGTCTTTAGGTAAGCGGTTACTGTAGCATATGAACGCCTGTAATACCAGGAGCATTACGCGCGCGTTGCCGACCCTGAAGCATCTTCTTTACCCTTTTTTTGAAGTACATTATGCTGTGTGACTACTCGATATATACGAGTATTTGAATTTGCAAACTGTGCATATCAGCTGTTAACTGCTTACCGCTGAATAAAGGCCCTCCCCAGAAGGGGAGTTTTGCCAGTAATTGCTACGCTTGGCAGGTGGGTTGGCTATCGCAGTTAGGCTTTGGTGACGTTTTTAGGAAACGCTACCCTCGGTACCATTAAGTGCCTTTGATCGCCTTTTACGACACCCACGGAAAAGAAGGAGTGACTCATTCTATGCAAGGTTCACACGGTAATCGTGTATATACAGTATATTAATTTATGTAACCTATTTCTTAAAACTAGTGTTAGTATTCATTAATAGGGTTTCAAAAAAACTTTTTTCCTACATTTTTTTTTCTAATTACAAAAGACTAAATAAAAATAAATTAAAATTTTTAAAAAAAGAACACTATCTGTGCCAATGGTACTACACAGTTGTTCATTCTCATCTATCACTCTTCACTGGTGCTCCGCCAGCGTATCCCGTTAGCGCAGGCGGGGTTACCATACCATTTTCACTCATAAAAAAAAAAAAAACTACACAGTATGGGGTATATTTTTGGTAATATAATTTATTTTTTCTAGGAAAAGTCAATTTTTTAATCCCCTATTAATATATTAAACTAGCATTAGTTTTATGGAATGGCTTAGGGAGACTTTGTACAAAAGTCGATTGCTTGGGTACCTCTGTCCCATTCGTGTTTCAACCGTGAAGCAGTTGTGTTTGCATGGCTGTGTTTCGGTTTGAAGGGTGAGATATGGCGTGAATTTACTGGGTACAGAGGAGTAACACCTGAGTTCTCTGGAATGGCAACGCATGGGGGGTATCTTGGGCGAAACAGTATGCTCTGTTATTTCCATGGTGCTGCTCATGTCTATAGGCGCCGGTTACCACTTTCCATCAGGTGGCCCGTCAGCTTGTTTGCCATTCTAAGTTGTATAAAAATTTGCTTTTTATACATTATAGATGTGTATAGCAAAGTAGATATAATATTAAAAAATGTTATTAAAAAAAAGATAACGGAAGTTAAAATATTCATTTATTTACATTCGTAAAACTTACACGAATCTGGGTGTTTTTTATGAATTAAGTTGGAATGGTATTTAATTAATGAAAATGCAATTGCTGCACTATCAGTATATACTGACGGGGTACTAGTAGATAATGATAGATGAGGATGACACAGGTCAGTTTTCTTTCAGTTCTCATCGTCATTACTTCGACAATAAATCAATTACGATGGTTTCTAAGAGGAAACGCATGAAGGCCGACTTGATTGGATATATTGCTAGCAATTTTTTTTTATCTGAAAGGATATACTTTCAGATTGGTCAAATAAAATTTTTATTAAAATTAGTTCAGGAATTGAGTTTAAAATAATTGGTTTTACTAGTATTGAAGTTTGTTTCCTTTTTGTAGAACATAATCTTAATTTTTTTAAAGGTTCATAAAGGAAAGATACTAATTAAAAAACCTTTTCAACTTTGTTAATTTCAGTGTATTATACATGTAGATATTGTAGGTACTAACTGTGTCCGGAGTTGTCCACGTAAATACTAATCAAGTTGATTTAAATGTGACTGTCGCAGAGTATAATTATACAGTATGTATAAATTTCATATCTATGAATTTAAAGGTAAAATCGTTAGTTTTGAAAGACACATTTTCAAAGTTTCAAAAAGTATATTAACGGTAGTTAAAATGAAGTAAATTATCCCGACTATATATTTTATAATATATTATATTATATAAAAAAAAAAAAAAAAACTGCATCAAATTCTCAATGAAAGAACTATAAATTTTCAACATGGTAGACGCAATTGCTGCACTTTATTACATCATGGAAAAGTAGCGTAACGAAATGTCTAGTTCCCATATCTTATCGAAATAATATTTTCATCTTATGCTATTATTGATAGATTTATAATCATCTAGAATATAAATTTAAAGTTAAATTATTTTATTATAATCCCAAATTTGCCGGCGTCGGAATAACTACTTTGTTGATAGCTTCTATGGGGTGCTCTATCTCTTTCGCAGGCACGAGTGGGGGCTTTCGTGACATTGTGCGTCTCTTTCCATTACGCATTTTGTGACGCCTTTAATTCGGCTATAGAGCGGTCAGCGCTCAACGTCAGTCTCCAGTCACAATCTTACATGCGCGGTAGAGACTGTTCGCTTCAGTCGTGTGTCGGCTGACGTCACTCAAGTTTTATTCCAGTTTCGCCGATCGTAAAAATGGTAACTGAAAGTGCTTCAGTCGTGTAAGAGATTTCGAGGTGTACTGTTTGTTGGTGAATAACAGACAGTAGTGCGGTAAATACGCACAAACCGTGATAATCCACGTGCGTCGCGTATTACCGGTACGCATTGATTTTTTTGCGGAATGGGTGAACAATCACAAACCGGCGACGGGAAAGTGGTGTTAAAACGTAAAATTACGTTGTTCAATGGAGTCGGAATAATTATTGGGACTATTATTGGTTCTGGGATTTTTATATCGCCAACTGGAGTGTTTTTATATACCGGGTATGTAACGTGACTGAGTTCGCGCCTTTTTACTTTTGTATTTGAGCCGGCAACTGTATATGAATTCATGGTACATATTTAGGAAATAATGTTAATATATTTGTATCAGAGTTTAAAATAAAAAATAAATAATTTAATATTTAAATATTTTCAACATAATTCCTGTTCTGCAATAATTTAGAATTTTGTTAGGTTAGAATTATTTTACTAACTATAAATATGGATTTCTGCGAAATAATGCCTAAATCAATGACATATATAGCATTCTTAGATTATAATAACAACCTAATACAAATAAAGAAAGACTCTTTCTTTCTTTCTTACAGAAAAATCATTTGCTATTTAGTTTATTTGGCACAATATATAATATAAAATAATTATGTAAAAAAATTATTTTTTTTTAAATGGAAATGATAATATTAGTAATAATTGTAAAATTCAATAATTTAATTTTTTTTATCACTCATAGACCACCAACTGTAAAAGGAGTTGCTGTTGTATTAACTGAGCCCGGCACCATTGGAGTCATAATAATATAATAATTATATGGAATATATAATAGCATTGAAAAATAGCACCTTAACAAAAGGTGTATTATTTATCTGTTAGATGTCATGGTAACGGGGTTAGAGGTGGTAGGAATCCGGCACAAATTCTGTCGATGACCTTATAAAGATTTGATCTGGCGACCTACCTACTACCCGCGAATTTTGAGACTAACTTTAAGAAACTAACGACATTGAAGTATCGCGATGTAAAGGTAGAAAAGTTTTGTTAGAGAAAAATAGAATTATTTGAAATACGAGATCATGAAAAACACAGGATTACATTGATAGATAATCCACTATTCCGGTGACTTGTTCCGCAAATTTGTTAATGAAGTCTCGTTAATAGACAGACTGAAAACCAAAAGTGATTATACGCGCTCTGGATACTACTTACTGAAAAATTGTTTTTAATACGTTAATAATTGTATTTAACACTGAAAGTTAAGTTTTATAATTTTCGCATGGACTCTAATATTTAAGTTAATAATAAATAGTTCTGTAAATATTTTCATTAAATTTCCTCATATTCTTTTTCTCTAAATGTGGGACACAGCGTTTTTTTTTTTTTACGTTCATTTTTTTATTTGGTAGGTATCGTTGTGCTGTGATCAAGGACAATTTGATAATTCACATTGATATAATTTCAATAAGAGCATTTTTTGTTTGAACGCATCAGTTTCTGATTTCGATAACAACAAACTTTGTGGATGATGAATTCAAACAAAAACCGATAGCAGCTTCATGTGAAACTAAAACTAATAGCAGCTATCTTCAAACAAATTTTATATAGTATAAACATTTTAATAAAAATTACAATATAATAATTATATGTTTATTATTATGATATACTTAATTTGAAAATTGGAAAAATAATGAATTTGTCTAGGAAAATACCTAGCAAAGTTACGTCTAAGCTTACTCATTTGGCACAAATAAAAAGTTTTAAAATCAGATTGTTACATGTAATAAAAAGTAGATTTGTCTGTATACAAAATATTTTTCACAATAGTTGTTCTCAAGGAAATTACCTATCATGTCTCAGAGTTAAAATAACTAACTCAGGATGATAAAAATATAGGTAAATGAAATACCGAAGATTATGTATGTATGTAATTAAAAGGATAAGAAATATCCTTTTATATTATGATACTGATAATCAATGCTAAGAAAAAAAAAATAGCAGTGAGTGCTTATATACCTATTTGTTGTATGTTATAGAAAATATTACATTAATTAACATTCCAGTTAGTAATAGGGGCAAGGTAGATTGTTTTAACATGCTTAATCCTAATGCCAGCCACTGCAGGGGACAAATATGAGAATAAATTGCTTCACCGGCAACGGTAGCACTTATTATTATGCTAGTATATATAAGTGTTGATTTTTATAAGACCAATAAACCTTGAATATACTTGTGCCTTTAGAATTTGTTAATTTATCTATAACAATAATGTATTCATTGTCACTGTTAAGGAATAAATGAAAGGTAAGTGTAGTTATACAAAAACGGAAAAATATACAACGAATTTTATGTAGGAAAGGTTTAGCTTCTGTGTCTACCGGCGATTTTTGTACTTTTACGATATTTGTCATCGCCGGACAGATTAAAATTAGAATATATGATTTCGTGTGAACCAGGAATGAACTCGCGACCTCAGCCTTGGGACACAAGTGAAACACAAGGCCATGCCGATCTTATTATTTTATTATTTTCTTTTATTGCATCGAGAACTTGATTTCGCGGCCTTGAAGTCACAAAACTAATTTGGTATGAAAATACAGATAAGAATATAGATATAAACTTATTTGCACTCTCGTAGTACTTACATTATGTGTTTTAAAGTGTGGAATACAATGTGTTCCTGTAAAATTAATATTGTCCCAGGTTTTCCTCTTATTGCGGAAGCAAAGAAGTGTAGGTAGGGTTTTGATAATGTCGGTATTGACCGGTATACACCAGCTATAATGATTATATGGCTATTTATAGGTACGTATATCTAATATGCAAAATGAAAGGATCGATTTAATATTCTATTGCAACATAATTCTCAATCATTGATATAAAGCTTCATCAGTCATTATTAAAGCATCAAAAACCATTTTTATATTACATTATTTATTAATAATTTGTTTATATCTTATCAGAAATACCTACTTATAACTATATTTACAAACTAAACCATACTTGAAAAGTATACTTCACCTTTTGCCTGTTCACAGATCAAATCTGTGTCTGAAACCTTGCACCAGTTCTCAAATCACTTGATTATTGAAGCGATAATTTATGAAAGTAAAATTACATAGCAAGCTATTATTTGTATGGTTACCTATTTAGGTCCTTATTGCGTTGGTAATGTTCTCTTGATAGCGTTAATTGGAATTCTCTAAATTTGATGAATGGAATACCACTTTAAATATATTTTGTAACCGTATGTTTCCTTATTTAAAAATATAATAGACAGCTAGGTACTCCATATTTACTTCAATATTTAAGATCTAGTAGACCGTGGCCATTACAAAGTTATTTTTACATCCATGTGCTTCCTTTTATCTACAGTAAAAAAATATATTGGACGAAATCAACAATACGTTGATTGGTATTCAGTATACTATATTTGCATTACATAGGAAATAAAAAGAACACAATCGATACACTAGATATACTGTATAAGTACATAAAATAAACAAATATTACATTAATTAATAAAAAACAAACCTATTGCAATAAATATATAAAATTCCAGTTACACAAATGATGAATCGACCTAACCATATTCAACCGGTAAATCGTTGTAAAATAATTTAATAATAGGAATAGGTAATAATAGTTTTCGATAAATAATGAATTCAAATAATTTTAGTTACTTTACTAGAACGAAGACTACATAGATCTATGTATATTTTGCTGAAGTGTCAACGGCATAGATAAATAATAGTACGAATCTGTGGTGTCCATAGAGTTGTTATGTTTATAGACAACGGTTAAATTAAACACTTTCTAACAGGTGGGCCATTAACTCGTAAGCCAATCCCAGATGTATAAAAATCAACTTTCAAGATTTCTAATAATAAGTAGTTAATAACTGCGACACGGCCGACAAACGGATACCGAAACCTTTTTATAAATGATTTGATATTAGAAGTAACCGTATTTAATATACCGTATTGGTACAGCATATTCTCCGATATAGTTCTCATTTCAACTTTTATTTGTTTCTCCTTTATATGCAGGTGTTTAATTACCGGATGAAGTTTCTTTTTTTTATATGTAAAATGATTTTGGTGAACAAATATTATTTTGTGTCGATAATGCAGCAAACATTATTTTTAATCCTCTTATTTATAAAAACATCAAACCTTTCATAAAATTATTTTAGCTATTAAATAGTTTTGTCTCTTTTTTGTGCTAAATTCTTAGTTTGAATGAAACTGACAAAACAGTGTAATAGTTAATATATATCTCATTTGCGTTATTTTCTTGGGCACGATATTTCTTGTGTTTTATTTCGCGTTTAAATGAATAAGCACACTGTAGCTTTAGCTATATACCTGTTGTGTTATCAATCCCATGTTATGACATGTCAGAGAGATGAAAAGAAGAGAAAAAGGAGAGGCTATGATGGACATTTGAATTTTTTTCTTTGACCGTGACAATGAAACAATATTATTATAGAGGTTAATGATAGAGGTCAAATACCTTTAAGGAAACCTTCGTTTTCATTCTTTATTTAATAGAAATGTTTTTAGAACACAATTGTATTATTAAAAATAATTAAACTTTGTTAGTTTCAATCAGTGTTCTATAGAAATAAATTAGGATATGATTTAATTTTGTGTAACTTTTTTGTTCGCATTAAACTTTGTGTCGTTGATTTTTTTTTTTATAAAAAAATGCTGTTTATAAATAATAATTTTATTGCACAAATATAACAGAAACATGATGGAAGAATAAAGAAATTTTATATTTAAGTTTTTTATTCAAATGTATATTTAAGGATATTAAAAAAAAACTAGAATATTAAATTGTATTCAATATTTTCATTGTTAACAGGTCAGTAGCTGCATCCCTGATAATATGGTTGACATGTGGTCTCCTTTCCACACTAGGCGCTCTGTGCTACGCGGAGCTTGGCACCTCTATCACCAGATCGGGGGGAGACTATGCGTACATTTACGCCGCCTTTGGTCCTCTTCCAGCTTTTCTCAGACTTTGGATTGCGTTGCTCATCATTAGACCGACTACACAAGCTATTGTCGCATTGACATTCGGCCACTATGTCGTCAAGCCATTTTACCCTGAATGTGACCCGCCACAAAATGCTGTTCGACTTTTAGCCGCTATATGTTTATGTAAGTATTATTTAGAATAACCTATTAATTGTGTCCATGGTGCTTATCTTCTCTATGCTACTGGTGTCTTTTTATCCGTCTGCTCATTCGAGTTCTGAACTGTGGGAAGAAATTTGCAGTTATAGATAATTTTAGTTAAAGTAAATAAAATTTATATACATTCGTATTTTTTTATGGGTGAAAATGGAATGTTAACTTCGCCTACGCTATCGGTACACGCTGGTTGAGCGTCAATGAGGCAGGATGAAAGCAGATCGGTTGGTACATTGTGATGAATTCATCAAGAATTAGCTACGATAGTTTCCAGGAGGAATCATGGAGAGGTCGACATGATAGAGTATATTGTTAGCAACTGGGATTTTGAATTCCGTTACTAATATTCCCTTTCTTCCTTGTTCAAAAATGAACCTTCTTGGAAATTTATAGCACTTTTTAACAAGAAAATTAAAAATAAGTGAATAATAATATAATATATCACGTTAACGGTTGGTGTTTTTCATTTAAAATTAATATAATTAATAAATAACATCATAAAGAAAAGAACCAGTATATTATAAACACCCCTTGTATACTTACTAGTATTAGGGTTATAACATAAACATTATCAAGACGATTTAGGATAGAATTATTTAAGATTTGTGTATTTTGAATTGTGTATCCGGTTTCTCATAGCTTTGTATTAGATATATAAATATTATATATCAGAAATAGTAAGATACCTAAGGACTTGGAAAACACGCGTTTAGAATTATCCAATGATTATAATTGTAAAGTGATCTAGTTAATATTTTATTTAACAATAAAAACATACATAATATATTCTGCTATATTGCATATTTTTATTGCATTATAAATATGTATGGTGTTCATGTTGATAGTTAAAGTATGTAGTTTAAATATAATGACTTGTACTAAGTGACTGATTGATCTATCAACGCAAAATCTAAATCGTTGGCGTTAGAAATTTTAAATATAAGCTCCTTTTATGATATACGCATCCAATAAAAAAGTGAGATATTTGAAATGAGAACTGCAGATGATACATTAATATAACACGACAATGTTCAACTGCATATATTGGGGGTCAAAAGGTCGGCGCACCGTATTGAGAATCGATATCACCTTTATAATTTATCTTACGAGTAGTATAAATAAGAAAGTTATAGAGTTTTTTTTTGTTTAATCATATGTGAATAGCTAAACAAATTTGAATTACATTTGGTACACTATGTAATGATATATTGGATAATTTTTATTCTAATTGCTGCGGGTTGCAACTACTATTATGTAGAATTACGTATTAAAATTAATTTCAACTTTTTAAATTGCTGATACAATTACAGCTATGTAATTATAATAATAAAAAAATACCAGCTAATTATATGTGACTTAGTTACAAAACGACTTATAGCTACAAAGAATGTACGCGTAGTTTCAGTAGTCAATTCGCACGACTCGTCTGACTCTGATGAATTGACTTTTGACACGTGAAATTTAAGAGGCGTCCAATATCTATTACAGATCTATAAATAGGGCTTACGACAATCTAAAGTAATTGATAACTTAATAGACAGTTCATTTGGACAAAGTTTGATTAAGGTTCCTAAGAGGGAATCCCAGTCTAAGCTTCTGAATTTTCAAGTACATACTTGGAGCATTTAAAAATAATTAGCATTTGTTTATTGTTTCGGACATGTAAAACTATCATACGATAAGCCATGTCACAGGCTTTTGTGTATAATGAAGATAGTTTAGAAACTCTTGACTCCAGAGGGCAACACCCTCACACGATTAGTCGTAGTAGTAGTAGGTAACTTAATAAACTTGTTTACAACTCTCTGGGAATGGTCATGTTTCTCAGAGTGAGAGCTAACAATGATGTTTTGACGGGCAATCATTGGCTTCCCTTGTTGTGAAAGTGTAGAATGATGCATATGTTTTAGTTTATACAAGAATGTTATTGTAGTTTCTAGATTCAATAGATATTTGGAACTAGCTTTTCTTAGTTTTTTTGTTAGACCAATGAAAAATATTTTAGATAATAAATCCACTTATTTGACTTTGTCAATTGTTATAAGACTTCTAAATGGTCAAGAATTGTTTCATTGCTTGTCATTTACCTATAGAAGATCCAAAGTGATTAGACATAGTCTGAAGGATAGGCAAATTGAATTTGGCTATGAACTGGTCACATAGCTGGAAGAATCGACAATCGATAAGAAAGAAAGGTTCTTAGTGGCGACCCTGCATAAGCAAACGTAATGTAAGATGGACTCCCACTAAATGGAGCGACAACCTCAAATACATTGCAGTGAGCGGTGGATACAGGTAGCTCGGGACCGTCATTTACGGCAGTCTATGGGAAAGGCTTACGGTCAACAGTGGACAGTTTAGGACTGAAATGGTGATAATACTGAAAGTCTGATTTTAGGATTCCATATCAAAACTTATGGTGCAACTTGGTACGTTTGTCCTTCTTTCTGATACAACGCTGTATTACAGTAGCTAAGAGCTGCAGAAATCGTAATCACAGTAACCATATTAATAATAATTATTGAGTGTATTTTTATATAACAAACACATTTAAATACAGTTTCGTTCGCAACTAAAGTATATAAGCATCCATGTATAGGTTATTTTGTCTACAGAATTTCTTCCAGTTCGCACATACACTGTTAAATTTGGGGTTTTCGTTAATATATGTTTATTATAATCTGGTTGAGTATTAGAATATTTTTTTGTTAAGGGCAATGCATTTTGCATGCAAGTTCAACGCTAGATGAAGCAATAATGCAGTAGACCATTGGTGTAGCTTACAAGAAACTGGTTTTCATTAGGCGGGTACAAATAGTTTCACCTGTATATTTGAATAGATTAGACGAGAAATCTCTGGTCAGTAGTTGCATTTTTTCCTGTTAGGTTCAGGGCTCAGTTAAAACTATAAAACATTTACGAAGTTTATAAAATTTTATTATGTTTTAAGATATTCCCAAAAAAATGGGGTTGTACATTTTTTTGTCATATTTGCTATGTTGTCAATTTTTAAATGATCTTGAACAATCTGTTAGTAACAGACAGTGTTTACTTCCTTTGTGAGGATGATGAAAGAAACTGCTCTTAAAATATTTCTAAAAGCTTAACTACGGTTGTCAACCAGCCTGCCGAGCGTGGCAACTACTGGCAAAACTGGCTTATGTCAGCAGTGGATGGTTAACGGCTGAAATGAGTTTGTCTTAAGTTCAATATTTTCCATTTAATTTTAGGTGTGCTGCTGGCCTTTTAAAAATATATGCTTTTTTCTTGAAGGTTACGATTTCGTATCGTTTCCGAAATACTGCTGTTGGAAGTTGATTTCAAAGCGTGGTCGTAAGTGGATAAAAAGTGTCTTCAAAAACCGTACGATGGAGGTTTCTGTTCTATGAAATAAGATTATTTACTTACTATAATTTTTTTTTTATTTTAAAAGTGGATACAAGAGTTATGTTTTTAATATTATGTTTCATACACATATTATCATATGTTCGCAGTAATTTGTGAACGTTATGGATCATTAACTATTGGGATGGTGAGCACCTAATGAGGAGTAGCGGCTCCACTATCAATGTTTAAAAAGGAAGGATAGTTAACAGACAAGTAATTAGGAACTCGTTAGACCTATGGGTTCATTTACCTTTCGTCTTGTGTGGTTTAATATTTTTATATGAGTGACTGTAATAATAATTTAAGATTTTGTTCACGAAAAATCTGTCTTGATTCGTTAGTAAATTAAAGGAAATAAATCTATTGTTTATAAAAACATTATCTCCGATTTTAAAAAGTACTAAATTATCTATGTATTTGCACATTGTACTGAACTAAACTAAAATGCATAGGGGGATAGTATTATTAGTAGTTTTTTTTATGGGTGATAATGGAATGGTAACCCCGCCTGCGCTAACGGTATACGCTGGCGGAGCACCAGTGAAGGGTAATCGATGAGAATGAAAACAGGCCAGTTAGCCCATCATGATGAATTCATCAGGAATTAACCATGATAGTTTCCAGGGGGAAATTGCTAGCAATGGGATTTTTAGTCTCCATTACTAACAATCCCTTTCCCCCCTATTATTAGTAGTTAGTGGGATATACCAGTCTTGCAATATTATATATATACATGCATTCTTGAAACTGCTGTCTTTAATTCCTGGTTTCATAAAGGGCTAGTTGAATTGACTTCATCATTACCAGGGGGAAAGGGATTATTAGTAATTAGGTCTAGTGGGCACATTATTAGTAATTTAGCTTATATAAGATGAACCCCCACGCGGTTCTCCCTGGAAACTGTCGTAGCTAATTCTTGACAAATTCGTCACGATGGGTCAACTGACCTACTTTAATCTCATCTATCATCTTCATTGGCACTTTGCTAGTGTATACCGATTATACAGGCGGAGTTACTATTCCATTAAGTATACTTACCCAACACTTACTAATAGATTACCTATCAGCGCGAACTAACAGGGCACGCGTGTCTCAAAAAGGTATTATTTATAATTTATATATATATATATATATATATATATATATATATATATAATATGATTTGAGAGGTACTACGTAATACTACTTTACATGTATATGATATATTCTTTAGCAATATAAAGGTTGTAAACCTCTTGGTAATAAAAAGAAATGAAGGACAAGTTCATTTAATTTAGGTATCATACTATTAAATCATATATTTACTTATTTTACTTTGTATATGAAATATAATAAATAATACAACATTAATACCCAACTTCTGTTAATCCATTAACACTTATTTAACTATAGTTTTTTTAGGACTTCCATCAACAATAATTGTGATATATTTTATATAATGACCACGTGGTTTACTATATTTGTTCACTCTTGATACGTTAGGGAGCTCCGGTCTGTTCAACGGTTGGACAAGAAGTGCCTCCCCATCCAAATAACAATCTTTTATATCTACAGGACCGAATTCGAGTAAACAAGTCAGC